CACTATGCTCTCAGTTTATTATGCACTCAGGAGAATGTAGGAAAGATGATCTTTGCTACAGTTTTGTTCAGTGTCTAATACCTTTGATAGATAGGTATTGAATAACAGTACTGGTTTACAGTAGCTTTTCTATTTTTAAAGACCAATTTTTATGTCCAAAAGCCTTCCAGAATATTTTTTCAGCACAAGGCAATATTGTCATATTCTTTAGATTTTGTAGGGTCTATGACATGTTTAGTGAAGGTTCTGTTTAGAATAAAGTCATCTCCATCACAATGGACAAATTAAGTCTAAAGTCACTTGACTACACGTTTTTGACACTACGCAAATGAGTGTAATTTTATATTCTTTAAATTACTGTGCCAGTGCTAGTTGGAAAGATTCAGTCTTACTTTATTAAGTAGATATTTATTTAGCATTCAAATAATTTGTGAAGTTGTTTTTGTATTTATAAAAAAAATCCTTTGAGGATATAAAAATCCTTAACATTGTTTTCTTTGTGTTTTGTTTATATTTCAAATGATCAATTAATTGTCCTCTTTCTATAGGACAGTTCTTCCAGCACTATATGTTTATACAGTTTTTGTGTGTAAAATAATAAAATGAGACCATTTTCAAAATATACCTTTCTTCTCTGTGTACTACTGGATGCACCATTCTTGGCTGAAGCTGATGAGAGTGGATGGCAGGATTGATTGCTACTGCCAAGATACAGTAACAGCATTTTTACTATGATAAGTACAATATTAATGTATGCCAATGTTTCACAGTGCACTGTCCTAATGCTTGTGTCCATACTATTCACCATGCTTTCCTGCAGGTGTCTTGGGAACAACTACTCTTAATTTATTTATTTTTCTAAAATACTGTCTGTTTCATGGGGATAACTTTCAGAAATGCCTTGATGACATTTTGTACATTTCTAATAATTCCCAAATATCAGATAATTTGTTATTGTTCTGTTCCTTCACATTGTTTCCGACTTATAGTGACCTTAAAGTGAATCTGTCAAAGGTTTTTCTAGCAAGATTTGTTCAGAGTGTGTTTGCCTTTGTGTCCCTCTCAGGCCAAGAGATTGTTACTTGCCCAAAGTCACCCATTGGGTTTCCATGGCCAAGAGAGGATTGGAACTCTGGTGTCCAGAATCATAGTCCAGTACTCAGACTACTATGCCACGCTGACGTCAATAATTAGTCAACAATAAAATTACTTTTATCTGAACATCTTAAGTAATTCTGAGATTTCTCTGGATATAGGGGGACAGATATGTTAAGGGTCCAAATTATGATGGAATGTCTGAAATCTATGTTTTTCAGGGGCACACTGCAGTGTACCCACAAACAGCCAGAGGGGGATAATAGTTGAAAGGATTGGGTGCCAACATGGAGGCAGTCTCTAATGAAGTCTTGATGAAAAAATAATTGGCAGATACCAATTTGCCTGGAAGATGCTACAATCAGCCCTTGGTATCCATAGGGGATCTGTTCCTGACCCCACCCCCCATACCAAAATCTGTGGATGCTCAAGTCCCATTGTCCCCAATGGTAGTGTGGCCATGCAGCTGCACAAACTGGGGACAATGGACTTCACCTCATGCATCCATCCTTTCTTTCTCTCTCCTAGCTTTCATCTCCAGGCGCTGCCGCCGCTTCCTCCTGCCTCCTCCTGCCTCCCTCCCTCTCAACTCTCACTGGTGGCAGGGGGCCACCACCGCTGCTCTTCCTCTTCCTCTTCTTCCTCCTTGCCTCATCCTCCCGCCTCTTCCTCCTCCTCTGGTGCTAATGCCACCTAAACACGGGCTTTGCTGTCTTCGGATGGTTGAATCATGAATGGCAAGTCCGCGGATACTGAGGATGGACTGTATTTCAAGACTCAGAGGTGGCATGCCTCTGAATATTAGTTCCCTGGGGAAAATTTATCAGGAAAACACTGTTGCCCTCATGTCCTGTTTGTGGGCTTGCCATAGGGATCTGTTTGACCACTTGGGAAACAGGATCCTGGATGAGATAAGCATTTGATCTGATCCAACCATGGTCTATTTATGTTCTGTCTAGGATGAAAGGAACTGGACCAATTAAAGAAGATAGTTGCAGAAGTTAAAGATCCATATTTCATGTACTCTGAATACATTGCTCTTTTTGGCTGTAAGTATTGAATCGGTGAGAAGGCATTTCACAGGTTAGTCCACTAGGAAGACTACAAAGGACTTCATCAGGAATCAGTTTTCTTGTGGCTCTGAGGTTAAGTTGTTCTTTGGAATTGGGATCTTGGGTTCTCGTATTGGTGTTGCTTTTCTTTTTCCATTCAAAATTGTTGCTGACAAGACGCCCCAAAGATAATTTTTTCTTTGTAGAAATCACCAGCAGTTCTTAGAAATGTATCATATTTCTCAGCTAGAGAGAGATCACCCTACTCAGAATATTCCTGGCACAGCATTAGCCTTATAGTATTTATTATTCCTTGTTCATCAAGCTCCTTTGCAAAATGTTTGTTCCAGTCACCCACCTCAATACAGGTTATTGTTGCATAGCTCTAATATGAATTGTGGACAGCACTGGTATCACATTGAAGGTCTTCTAGGTCTGCAGTGTATGGTTTTGATATTTTTCATACCTGCATCAGTAGCCTACTGGCATATAGGAGAGGATATTAAATGAGTGATGCAGTTTCTGTTAATAAAGTATTGCCATCATCTATGACTAGTAAGTTAAATCAATGTGTTAGCTGTGGCTGGTGGAAAACAATGTTATCAGGGAGGGACACTGGGAGTATATATTGTTCCTAAATTAGCTTTTTCTTAGCTAGCCCAGGCCATATGTATTGTCCTGAGATCAAATTGCAAAAGACAACCCCTCCCCAACTCAAAGGCTTAGCACCTGGACAGAAAATCAGCCAACTAATTACTTAATTGCAAATTCTCTGTGCCTCACACAAATGGATCCTGTGCCAAGGAATGTTCAAGAGCTGAGTAGGTTTTGGTAGGTGCCCCATCATCAAAAAAAGGCAGGGGAGAAAGGATCACAACAATTATCACGCTGTTAGTCTGACATCAATAACGAAAGATTCTAGAGCACATCATTAGCAATAGCAAGCGCATTTCTATACTGCTTATCAGTGCACTTAAGCACTAAGCTAATTGCCTCCAACAAGCTGGGTACTCATTTTAGCAGCCTACAGAAGGATGCAAGCCTGAGTTGAGCCTGAGCCCCTGGCTGGTATTGAACTCAACCTTACAGTTTGTGAGTGAGTGGCTGTAGTACAGGTATTTAACCACTGTGCCACCAGGGCTCTTTTACATTAATCAGAGTCTGTGAACATTTAGAAGTGAGTGCCATAATCACAGAGTCAACATGGGTTTTTAAAAATAAGTCATGCCAAACTAAACTGATCTCTTTTTTTATAAAATCACTAGCTTTGTAGATGAAGGGAATGTTGTGGATATAGCATATCTTGATTAAAGTAAGGCTTTTGACAAGGTTCCCTATGATATTCTTGCAAACAAGCTAGCAAAATGTGGGCTAGACAATGCAACTTTTAGGTAGATTTTTAATTGGTTGGGCAGCCGAACCCAAAGGGTGCTCAGCAATGGTTCCTCTTCATCCTGGAGAGAAGTGACCAGTGGGGTGCCACAGGGTTCTGTCCTGGGCCCAGTGCTATTCAACATCTTTATCAGCGACTTGGATTGAAGAATAGGGGGCATGCTTATCAAATTTGCAGATTTTTGATATTGGGAAGAGTAGCTAATACCCCAGAGGAGAGGATCAAAATTCAAAATGACCTTAATAGATTAGAAAGCTGGGCCAAAACTAACAAATTAATTTCAACAGGGAGAAATCTGGCAGCTAAAAAACCCCAATGCGATTCTAGGCAAGACGTATAGTATCTAGATCGAGGAAAAGTAAAATTTGGTCAGGCCCCACCTGGAATACTGTGTCCAGTTCTGGACACTACAATTCAAAAAGGATGTTGACAAGCTGGAGCATGTCCAAAGGAGGGCTACTAAAACAGTGAAGGGTCTGGAAACCACGCCCTATGAGAAATGACTTGGGGAACTAGGTATGTTGAGCTTGGAGAAGACAGGGTTAAGGGGTGATATGATAGCCCTGTTTAAATATTTGAAGGGATGTCATATTGAGGCTGAAACAAACTTGTTTCTGCTGCTCCAGAGACTAGAACATGGAGCAAACGATGCAAGCTCCAGGAAAAGAGATTCCATCTAAACATTAGGAGAAACTTCCTGACTGTAAGAGCTGTTCAACAGTGGTACACATTCCTTTGGAGTTTGGTGGAGTCTCCTCCTTTGGAGGCCTTTAAACAAAAGCTGGATGGCCATCTGTCGGGGGGGGTGGTGGTGGTGGTGGTGGTGGTGTTTTGATTGTGAGTTCCTGCATGGCAGGGAGTTGGACTGGATGGCCCTTGTGGTCTCTTCCAACTCTATGATTCTATCATTCTAAACACCACCACCACCACCGCACAAAAGCCACCCTGGTATGATTATATATTAAATGCCTGCTTAAATAAAAACAGCTTGCTGATGAAAGGCAAGGAGGGAGGGGGCCAGCCTAGCCTCCCACAGAAGGGCATTCCAGAATACAGGAGCAGCCACCCAGAAGGTTCCCTCATGTCCTCACCAAGTGAGCCTGTGATGGTGGTGGGACTGAGAGAAAGCCTTTCCCCAAAGATCTTAGCGTTCTGGCAGGTTCATATGGGGAGATATGGTTCTTCAAATAATCTGGACCTGAGCCATATAGGGCTTTATAGGTCATAACCAGCACTTTGAAGTGTGCTAGCAAACAAACTGGTAGCCAGTGAAGCTGTTTCAACAAGGGAATTATATGTTGGAATGGATTGTTAAGGCTGCTATGTTAGCCCAAATTGCCAAGCTAATATGCGTTTCAAAGGATAATTGAAGATTTTTTGAAAGATGGGAAACTGTTTATGGACTTTTTGAACAACAAGAAATCTTAACATTGTAATAATTTGTGTTTATTGTTATTAGAACCAGCATGGCATAGTGGTTTGAATGTTGGACTGTGACTCTGGAAACCAGAGTTCGATTCCCTGCCATGGAAACCCACTGGGTGACTTTGGGCAAGTCACACTCTCTCAGCCTCAGGGGAAGACAATGGCAGGCCTCCTCTGAACAAACCTTGCCAAGAAAACCCAATGATGACCCCGTTAGGGTTGCCATAAGTCAGAAATTACTTGAAGCCATACAACAAACAACAAACAAAATGGTTAGTAATTCTAGTAGGATTATTTAATTGGGTCTGTAATAGTAGAATAGGTTTCTTTTTTTATGTATATTTTATTTATCTTTTAATTTTAGTTAGGACTGGGGCTACTGTCAGAACAGAAGCAGAATGGTTCCCAATTGGAAAAGAGGCCAGACAAGGCTGCATCCTATCACCCTACCTAAATTATATGCAGAACATATTGTAAAAAAAGGCTTGGACACAGAAGAAGGAGTGAAAATAGGAGGCAGGAATATAATTGGTCATAATCCATGCTGTAGATGCAGAATATCAAAATTCTATCTATTTAAAAATATTTGCAAAAACTCAGAATTAGCCAATATTGTGAAAATAATCAGCCAGTGAATTTCATCAAAGACCTTCTCGATATCTTCAGAAATCACAGCTGGCTGATCAGTTCTATCAGAGTTTAAAGCAATCCAGTCCACAACCAATCAAATATTCTCAGTTCCTTGTCTGTTTTGGATAAATCCAGCTCAATCAGGACTTACCAAACATTACATTACTTTTTGTAATCTATTATCTAAAATAGCCGTCAATATTTGGATATCCACTTTAAGTAAGGATACAGGGTGGTAATTATTGCAGCAAGTATAACCCTTACCAGGTTTAAGTATCAGTATCATTTAATTATGAATAGAGGGAGCCAGATTCTACAATATGTTTGCAAAGTTGGAGCAGTGTTTTAAATGGGCCTTAATTTTTCCAGGATCTTGCCTATAATATAATTTTTAAAAATGCAATATAAACAACAAACAACACTTCCTGGATACAGTCTGCCACAGATGATTGAACATATTATTACGTGCTATAGCATTATATTAATTAGCCATATCTTTCTTTATCCCGTTAGATATCAGAATTCTTTCTAGACCCAAGTTCCACCTTACAGCAGTAACACTGATAAGATTTCTCTGGTTATTGCTCATAATATGTTGCCAAATTAGCTATTTTATCACTATGTTTTTGATTTCTACTTCATGTTCAAATTCAAATGTTACATGGAATAGGAACTAAACTATCCAATAGTTCCTCTGAGACATTAATCTGGCTGTAGACACTGACCTGTATTATTAAGCTAGGCTTAGGTATCTTAGGGGACTTCTGCTAGAACAGTAGCAAGACCTCTGTTGATAGCGTTTCTTCACTTATCTGAAACTTTCAGAGAGAAAAGCACCCTTAACTTACCAATAGGCATTCACATTATCTGCAGATGTGGTGCAATGTATGATATCCTTGCAGTGCTGTCCCAAAAACATTGGCACCCAAAGTAATGTAATTTCTTAGCTACCACGCAGAGAATGCTGAAGCCATCCACTTAATGTGAGAAAACACACACTATATTTTATTCCTCCCGATAAAGTTAGCTTTGATGGCCATGTTCATTGGAGGACCTGTCTGGTTATGATACTTTCCTTGTTTTTAACCCTGATATTTTTAATCAGTTATGTATTCTTACGGCCTCTACTTTCTAAATTGGCTATAATTGTTATTAAGGCATCTCTTTCCCATTAATATATTATTTAGGAGAGAGAGGTTACAATTATGTCTCCCAGGCCCAGCTTTATCATTAAAGTTAGGCAACAAACCCAGACTGAAGAGAATGTGGGGACAGCCCAGTGGCCACTCCTCTAGAGGACCCCCCACTGGTTCCCTATGTTGTAGGACAGAGATGTGGGTACAGATACTGGACCTATTCTGAAGACATTTAACTAGGGTGGAAATAGTATGTAGAGAGATCTTGTAGCACCTTTGAGACCAGCTGAAAGAAAGAAGTTGGCAGCATGAGCTTTCCTAGACTACAGCCTACTTCCTCAGATGCATTTAGTGGAAATAGGGTGGTCTTCCAGATGCTGGAGGTCAAGTCCCAGCTACCTTAGCTAACATAGTAGTCAAGAACACTAGGAATTGCAGTCCAGCAACATGACTATAGTGGACATAGGTCACAGTATGATCAAAGATAGCAAGGATTCTGTTGTGACTATTATGCAGCAGTGAAGTTGGCTAAAAAGTCTTTCTTTGCCTGTGTTATCTTTAACATGTTATGCAACAGAGTTAATTCTGACTGGTGAGGAATTTCTTTTAATCAGGCTAGGAGCAGAACCCTTTGTGACCTCCTGTGATAATTTGAAGACAAAGTTGCTCATATTCACTTAGAAATGTACACCAGTTACTAAGTGTTTGGAGAAGTGCTTACTGTTCCATCTGGTTTTGTGTGTTGGGGCAGTCAGTTTCAGTTGTTGCAGCCTGATGAAAACAAGATCTTTAATTTAGTCCATGCCATCACAACCCAGCTTGGTCTTGCCATTCTTGACTGATAAGATCCAGTAGATCAGGGGTCGGCAAACTTTTTTGGGGTGGGTCTGGATCCACTGTCCCCCGATCTTCGGCGTGCCGAAGGGGGGGGGGGAGAAAGGCGGCAGAGGTGCGCACACGCATGCACACTCCCTCCACATGCGCATGTGTATGCGAGCATTTTACTTTCCAAAATGGCGCCTGCGCTCGCGTACACATGCGCACCATGGCAGGTGCCATTTTGCCTTCCAAAGGGCGCCTGCCGTGGTGCGCATGCATGTGCAAGCGCACAATGCCAGCGCTGTTTTGCCTTCCAAAATGGCGCCTGCCATTGTGCGCATGTGTGCACGAGCGCGGCCGCCATTTTGGAAGGCAAAATGGCGCCCTGCACTCGCGCGTGCGCAGCATCAACAGCAGCGGTGGCAGGACCGGCCACGGGCCAGTTAGAAGATCTCAGCGGGCTGGGTTCGGCCCACGGGCCGTAGTTTTCCAACGCTTCAGTAGATGTCACTTGATCCAGTGAGATGTCTGCAGTGCACTGTATCCTAAAGAGGACTTCACTAGACTGAGAACTACTGTTTCATTCATAATATGCTCTCTTGGGACATGGTGTTTGCATGTGCAGTGGGTAGGCAACTACCTTGATTAATTTGAGTCCGGTTTCAATCTAGGATATGGCACTGAAACAACCTTGGCTGCCTTTACCAACGATCAGCCCTTAGTGGAAGACAGAGAATGCTGCCCTATTGGATCCTCCTGGATCTTTTAGTGGTTATTGATATCACTGATCAGATCACCTTATTAGTCTGGGTCTATAGCATGACAGTAGGAGGCACTTTCAGTGTCTATCTACATGATCAGTTGAGAGCAGTACTGAGGGATTACTGTTCAGCTCCTTGGCTGTTAACATGAACAGTGCTATCAGGTTCCATTTTATCCAATATGCTATAATATCTATATGAAACCAAAATGAGGGATAATTAAACTTTGGGGATTGAGTGTCACTAGTATGCCAATGACACTCCACTCTGCTTCTTCTTGTTGGTTAACTAGAGTTCTGCAGGTAGACCAAGATCTGGATGCCGTGATGGCTGGTTGGAGACAGAAACTGATGCTGAAGTCTACTAAGATCAGTGCTCTGTAGATTAGTGGTTGTCAGATACAGGAATTGAATAAGGGAGCTATCTTGGATTCTTCTTGAAGGAGAGATGTATAGTTTTGGGAGTACTCCTGGATCCATCTTTGCCAATGGAGGTCGAGGTGAACTCTGTGGCTTTGAGTGCGAGAGGGAGGGATTTTGACTGGTCCACCAGCTGTGGTCTTTAATGGCCACTGTAGTTTATACGCTGGTAATTTCCCCAGTCGAACCATTTGGCCCTCTGCATCCATGGATTTTGATTTCACAGATTCAAACATCCATGGCTTGAAAATATTTCAATTTTTAAAAAAATCCTCTGAAATTAAAAAAAAAATCTTGTTGAAGAATGAGCAAAAGAAGAAATCTTCGTCACTTGAATCCATTGCCAGTGATTTTGCCATTTTATATAAGGAGCACCATTTTAATACATCATTGTATATAATGGGACTTGAGCATGTATGGATTTTTGTATCCACAGGGAGTCCTGGAACCAAACCCCAGCAGATATCAAGGGCCCACTATACTACAATGCACTCTATGGACTTTATCACATGGGGGAAATCCTGTGCAGAAATGGGATTTAAAAGCTGGAGAAAACCTGCAAAAGCGGGTTGATTTTCACACACATCACTGTTAAAGTGTGGTTAAGCTGAACGGAAAATAGTCAAAAGCCACTCATTTTTACTTTTAGGATTTTCTGAAAGTAAAAAGAAGCAGCTTTGACTACTTTCCATTCGGGTTAACTACACTATAACAGTGACATCATCTGAAAATCTACCTGTTTTTTTTTGGGGGGGTTCTATTTAAAACCCCATTTTTGCATGGGATTTCCCCCGTGTGATAAAGTCCCTTGTGAGGTTGCAACTGAAGGCGATTCAGAAGCTGAAGCTAGCGTAATATGCAGATGCTAAATTGCTAAATGGAACACCATACAGAAACCATATAATACCAGTCTGAAATGAATTGCATTGGCTGCTAATATGCTTCTGGCCTGATTGGTGGTGATGACATTTAAAGCACGAAATGGCTTGTGAGCTCAAAACTTGAAGGAACACTATTTCCGATATGCACCTGCCCCAGATCTACACTCAGGCATTACTCTGTGTTCCACCAATGGGAGAATGCTTTCTCTGCCCTGGCGCTTTGGTTGTCATATGCCCATCCCTATGAGGCCTGACTGAAATCTGAAATCTGAATTGACTTCTTTCTGGCACTAGCTAAAAAGCATGTGAAGAAGTAGTCAGAGTTCTGTGAAAGCTCATGTTGGCAACTTCTTTCTTTCAGTTAGTCTCAAAAGTGCTACAAGATCTCTCTACGTAACTTAAAACATAGCTTTATTATAAAAGCTTTTGGAGCCTTAATAATTTTGCCAAAATATGCAGAG